TTGAATTCGTTTGAGCTCTAAGAACTTTGTAGACCAACCACGATACGCTCACTGTAATGAGTACGCTGTGTTTGAACTGGTTTAGGAATTCCAGTGCTTGAGTGGCTTGGGGTTCCTGCGAGACTCCCAGATCACAAGAATCTGCGAGCTTCTAGGCGCGAGGTAGCTTTCCAAGTTAGCTCCAAAGCCTACCTCTTCTCTTTAGACTACATGGCGCCACCTGCGGTGAGATACAGAATCCAGTCATCAATCGCTGAAGGGGGCGAGCGACGCTATTCAATATTATCAGTTGCTGATGACGTCGCACACAAGAGGCACAGGAAGAATCCATTTGATCAGAAGTACCTTTCGTTAGCCTTGGCACCATTTGACATTGTAAGACACATGTGGACTTCGCAGCCTACACCGGCCACTACCCTGTTCAGTGCCGTAACTTTCATACACAGGCAGATAAGAAGGGTAAATCAAGAGATGTCGTCACGAAGGCTGACGTGGAGGAGGCGTCAACGAATGTCCATGTCCGAGCGGAGGTAATCAGGTAGCCGTTTGCCCGGAATACGCGGAGATTCTGGTTCTTGCATCTAACGTGAGGATTCGTGCTTGCAGCTCATTCGAACAATGCGAGGTGTGCGAGATTTCTAGACGCCGCTGTTTTATGAAACATTGTGGCATTTTGCCGAGTAACGCGCTTAAAATTAAACCAGATGTATTGTCGAAGAAGACCAATGAGGCCGTTCGGGAGCTGAAGACCACAGCAAGGGAGCCGGATGCCAAGCCTGCAAAATCAGGTCACTAAGTTTTTGTAGTGTTTTGCAGGTCGTTTGAACTAATACCGAACAACCCTCACTAATTACAGCTCGTGTCATCAACGGACAAGAGTCGTCAGGATCAGACCTTGAACGGTACAAAAGAATATTCGGGAAGGGAGAAGCTCTTAGCGAAGAAGTTAAGAGCAGAGGAAGCGCAAGCAGAAGACATAAATTTGGCTGCGTCTCTGGCGTTTCGGATGAGCGTCAGAATAAGCAGAGCGTGCTTGACTTGAACTTGGATAATGCTGTGGCTAATGCAGTAAGTTCGATGCACCTTAGTTTGGACATAATCTACAGACGCATGGCCCTTATGATTTAACACCCTGACAGATGAGTAAATTTTCTGGTAAGTCCTATTCTCTCAAGCGTGAGGAGCTGTGTTTCAACCTTTCCTCTTCCACTTCTGGAAGTTTAGAAACCACAATCTCAAGGTAAGCAGCTTCATGCTGAGCGACTATTGAGCGCTTCTACATATAGCACGGTGTAACCACTTCTTATTTCCTTGTGAAGGGTGCTTGACTGGCATGGACAGCCTGATGGCGTCCCCGACATCAGCATTCCCGCATATTTTGACTTTAAACCGTTTAAGGAACTTGTTGTTCCCATTGAAGAGGACCTCTTGGATGACGGAGCTGGTGACAAGGATGGGCCGGTTGAAGTTCTGTCACTTTTTGCTGACAGCACTGCATCTGGCATCCCCCTTCCAAACATAGGGGCAGATTGTGTAAGTTGGTTGCCCATTGCCGTCGGAGAGTCTGTGGGTGCACAGTATATCCATCGCTATGGTACGTGGTGCAAATCTGGATTGACTATGCTCTGGCTTCTGCAGTTGCACGGGGAAGCCTTGGACTGTGATGCTCCAAATGAAGATAATATGGCTTTCGATGACATCAGTGACTTCGATGACTTTGAGCTTGTCGACAAGCTCGTGGAGGAATATGCAGCCAAGAAGGCTGCTGAGGCAGTACATATTACCGGCTTGCGTGACGAGGTAGTACTTAGAGTTCTGGTAAAGTCTTGTGTCTTCTGGCTCGGTGTCCCTCAAATTTTACTGAACTAATGTCTCTCCACTTGACTGACAGGCCACACTCGTGATGACCTCACAATCGGTTCATGTACAAGGTCATGCTCAACAGATGAGTGCTGGTCATGCTCAACAGATGGGTGCTGGTCATGCTCAACAGATGGGTGCTGGTCATGCTCAACAGATGGGTGCTGGTCATGCTCAACAGATGGGTGCTGGCCATGCTCAACAGATGGGTGCTGGTCATGCACACCAGATGGGTGCTGGTCATGCTTATCATGTGAATGCTGGTTATGCACATCATGCGGGTGCTGCGGCAGACCCCTTATTGCCTCAGGAGCATCAGCAAGGGCCTGCACCTCCTGAACCGTACACAGAATTAGCCACAGAATCAGCAGAAGCAACCGAAGCTAATCCAAGCAGTCACGGGGCAGCTCAAGCCTGCACTCCCTATAAGCCGCAGTTTGGTAAAAGGAAATCGAGGCTGGAGAAAGTTGTTCCAACTTCAACTGACCAACCAGATGATGATCTTATGGGAGCACCACCGAGCCAATCAAAGAAACAGCCAGCACAAATGGCTGTGGATGAAATTGACCCCGCAGATGGAGTCATACAAGCTGAGGAGACTTTGGCAGCTGACAAGGTATGATTTCTTTCATGAGTGGAGCAATTCAAAGTGTCCATGCCCTTGACCTATTTCAAGCAGGGTCCCAGTATCCTACTCCTGGACCGGCTCGTGGTTTCGAGGTTTCGGGAGGCCGATTCCATCAGCTCCATTCGACAAACCAGGTAAGTGAAAAGGGCTGCACATTCTCAACATTCCTCCATTCCTTCTTCCAATGCATGTGAGTCTGAGTATGTAACATGGGTGTACCATCGAGTTCCAAATGTGCAGGCAAATTCGTGATGCAGAGAGGCTTCTTATGCCACCAGTACAATGCAATTATACACTTCCCTCAGATCCATGGGAGGATACCGATATGGACCGAGACATGTTCAGACTTTCAATGTACAAGTGTAAGTGGCTTAAGTTACAGCATGGGAGTGGAATATATCTTTAATATCTACACAAACATGCTTTACATTTCCTGGCATATTTTTGGGCAACGTTTGTCTCTTGTGCAGCAAGGATCGACATTGTTTCGTACCGCGAGAAGCTTATTAGTGACCCTTCCCTGGTATGACGCTTTGTTTTGAAATTTCCTCTGTTTAGCACTGTTGGGATGATTACGTACCTCTATGCATTGCAGATTGAGGGGGGATTCGACCTTGATTTCTTCGCCGTTTCATGTGTGTTGTTCTTGGTGATGCTCCTTCGTTTGTTTTCCTGAGCCCCCAGTTGATGTAACTAAAGGTGCCATGTTTTTCAGGTTCCAATATATCTCATATGCCACTCGTACCATATGAGGGTGACACTGTCTGGGTTCCACCATCGGAGATGGGGGGGATTAATGACTACAATCAAGACCATGACAACCCATTGGAGTCTCCACCTGAGTTGCCATCTGGTTCCCCCCTGGGTGAAGAGCACGACGACCAGGATTTCTGGGATTCGTGTGGATGGGAGGAGCTGGATCCAGTTTACGCTCCAAATCATGATGCCCCAAACATGTTGCATCAGCCTCAACGACAAACGCCGGCGGTGGTTTATTGCAAACCAAGTGCTGGCCCATCTGCTGACAATCCTCTTTGTATTTCACCTCCAGGAGATTCAAGGATCCAGCATGAGCATAAGGGGATGTCATCTGCACCTGTTTCTGTAAGGAACAGTACCTACCCAGTGTCATTCACTGTTCCAGTAACCGCTGACCATGGACAACCAGAAGCACCATATCTACACGTCGATGCATGCTACACGGACCTCCATTCAATGGCTGTAGCTGAACATGCCCCAAGTGCAGCAGGCCAGTGCAGCAACTTTCCCAAACCCAAGAGAGACGATGCGGTGCCACTTGATCTACGACCTGCAGAACCTTCTCCTCCACACCTGTCTGCTTCCACGACATCAACAGGACCTCCTGATCCGAGTTCACAGTGGCTTGGATCACAATCTATGGCAATGCATCCTCAGTGCTCCATGGATTCGTCTCTTGCAGAGACACCCGCTTCTGGGCAGGGTAGAGGGAAGCGCCCCAGGCTCCAAGACTTGATTGAGCAAGTGATGACTCGAGATGTGTATCCGGTAAGACTTTATTTGCTTCATGGATTCCCCTTTTTTTTTTTATGCCTAGCATTCGTCCTATTTTACTTCCAGTGCATTGTGCCAACCCTCTGCTCTTGAAGCTCTCTATCGTTATGCACACATGCTCATGTGCTGATGCGCTTTGCTACAGCATGCACTGCATGCAGACTTTGTTGTGTCTCTGGTTCTTGTGATTGTGATGGTACTCGGTGCACTCAATATGGCGTTTTACCCCACTGCAGGAGCATTTATCTGATCCATCAAGCATCTCTGCGCTTTCAGACAAGCTTAAGAAGGACATTGCTGTGGCGGTCCAATCTGGAGGAAGAGCTTTTGGAAGGGATCATGTGATAGAGATGCTTGGACAAACCGCTGCGAAGGGTAAAACTGAGGAGAAACGTTTTTTTACGGTACAAGTTCCCCTTCCTAACAGTGATTTGTGCTGCAGGAACAATGACAGCGCAGAGGTACCTTATGGTGCTGCTGAACCTTGCACATCACCACAACATGTTGCCTCCAGAACGAAGGGTGAGCATGATTGAAGGTTTTGGGGCGAGATGTCTGGCTTTGTGTGTTTCAGTTAGTGAAATTCTTTTGGTTTGCAGGAGCTAGCAATAAGCGATACGGAATTTGTTCTGCACTGCTCATCTGGAGCGGGTCCTTCCTGTGTGGAATTGAGATTGTCAAACGAGTCTGGCGTGTTGATGCCGGAAGCCATCAGCAGCCGCTGATGATGTTGAAGCATTGGTGTTTCTCTGCAATGGTAGTCTCTCTCTGCATCGGACGTCCTCTAACTCCAGTGCAAAAGCCCAATTGTATCATCTAAAGCATTGTCTTCGTCTTGCTGAGCGGAGGCAATGTGCTTGCTTTGTTTCAACGTTTTTTTCCCCCCGTGTTCTTTTGACTTTGGTGGGTGGCAAGCAATGAAGCAAATTCCGTTCGAAGCAGACAAAGGGCAAGGAGCTACAGTAAAGAGCAGTTAGCTAGCCTTTCAATTGTTTTGTTTAGGAAAAGTTTTCACTTCTGCTGACCAAGCATTCCCCATTTTGAAGTCAGAAAATAGTTGAGAATGTTGAGCATTCCTTTTCAGTATTGGCGTTTCTAAATCTAATGCTACACCCCAGAATTATGCCCTCAAATTTTCAACATGACCACCAAAAATCGGCCAGACACGAAGTGGTCACAGGTTGATTGAGCATTGGGTAATGCACGCAGTAGTACCAACGTTGCCAAGTCTATGTTGGCGCACTCAAGATTGGGGCTGCTTCTGAGTGATGGCAGCATGCCCCTTAGACTGGCACAGGCATGGCTCCTTTCTTCACAACGCCATCGAGAATGTCGTTGAGTGCATGGCACAGACTGGCGATCTGCAGCGATAAGACAGACACACCGGGCAGGCATGAGAGAGGGCACAGGGCAGGCATGAGACAGAGCGCACAGGGCAGGCATGAGACAGAGTGCACAGGGCAGGCATGAGACAGAGCGCACAGGGCAGGCATGAGACAGAGCACGCAGGGCAGGCATGGTGCGATGAGTGCTACTGCATGAGGGTGCATGTACTTGGTGGTGGTGCTATGACGGTGCTATGATGGTCATGCACGCAGTGACAGGGGCATGCAGTGACAGGGGCATGCAGTGACAGGGGCATGCAGTGACAGGGGCACGTGCCTGGTGATCCCACTGCTGCAGGTCGTCGATGTCGTTGTCGAAGTGGATCACTGCCTCCACCTGGTGGGGAGCAAGGGATGAAGGGATGAAGCGGGTGGGAGGTGGCAGGGAAAGGTGGCAGGGAGAGGTGGCAGGGAAAGGTGGCAGGGAGGGATAGGAGTAAGAGGTGGAGAGACAGCGTCCAGTGACAGCGTCAACGGAGAGATCATTGGTTAGTGCTGACAACGTCTAGTAACACCACTGCAGCATCCACAAACTGTGACCTGATTGGGCTGCACTACATCCCATGAAACATAATTAGCTAATAAAAAAACCTCAGAATTTAGGAAGGTAAATCTTTCCAACTGCTAGAGACGCAACTGCATATCACCACTAGCGCACCCACCTGGTCTATGGTGCCCTTCATCCTGTCTTCCGATATCATCCGCGCCGCCACCTTCTCCGCCTGCCCGCACACACACAGAGGAGCAACGAGGAATGAAACGATCATGGAGGGGATAGAAGGAAACGCCGCCACCTTCTCCGCCGCCACCTTCTCCGCACCGCCACCTTCTCCACCTGCCCGCACACACACATGGAGAGGAAACGATCGGAATTTTGGACACAAGTTGAAGCCGACAAGGTGCCGAGGGGGGGTTGTGGAGGGGGTGAGGTGAGAGGCTGGAAATGTGCAGTGCGTGCATACCAGAAACCTTGGGAAACAGTAAAAGCAAACGGCAAGGCCAACGGGACATGGCCATGAGAAAAGCTGCAATGTCTGCAGAATAATCTGTCACACACCTTGCTCGTTCCCCCACCCCTCGACAGCCCTCCCTGCCCCAACCCACCGTGTGTGCAGCAATGCCCAGCAGAGCGCCCAGCTCCTCAAAGCTGAAAGGACGGGCAGGCATGGCAGGGCGGAAAGGGGAGGGGTGGGCCAAGGGACGCTTGCACATGGGACAGAAACATACAGAATTATACAGAAACATACAGAATCATACAGAAACATGCGTCCCTTGTGCAACTTCAGCTCCTCCGTGCAAACAGGAGAGGGAAAAAGCGGGGGCCTCTTCATAAGGTTGAAAGCAGCGCCAGCAGCGCACCTGATGTTGGTGTACAGCTTGCTGGCACTGAGCAGGTTGTGCTCGATCACTGCCCGGTCCAGCACCGTCGAACCGTCAGCCAGCAGCGCTTTCTGCACAGCCAGGCGGGAGATGCACAGCCAGGGGGGAAACGCACAGCCAGGGGGGAGACGCACAGCCAGGGGGGAGACGCACAGCCAGGGGGGAGACGCACAGCCAGGGGGGAGACGCACAGCCAGGGGGGAGACGCACAGCCAGGGGGGAGACGCACAGCCAGGGGGGAGACGCACAGCCAGGGGGGAGACGCACAGCCAGGGGGGAGACGCACAGCCAGGGGGGAGACGCACAGCCAGGGGGGAGACGCACAGCCAGGGGGGAGACGCACAGCCAGGGGGGAGACGCACAGCCAGGGGGGAGACGCACAGCCAGGGGGGAGACGCACAGCCAGGGGGGAGACGCACAGCCAGGGGGGAGACGCACAGCCAGGGGGGAGACGCACAGCCAGGGGGGAGACGCACAGCCAGGGGGGAGACGCACAGCCAGGGGGGAGACGCACAGCCAGGGGGGAGACGCACAGCCAGGGGGGGGACGCACAGCCAGGGGGGGGACGCACAGCCAGGGGGGGGACGCACAGCCAGGGGGGGACGCACAGCCAGGGGGGGGACGCACAGCCAGGGGGGGGACGCACAGCCAGGGGGGGGACGCACAGCCAGGGGGGGGACGCACAGCCACATATCTGTCAAGAGGGGATCGAGAGCAACGAGGTGACGAGGGGCCAGTAGACATGGGCATGAGCCGAGCCTGGCTCGGCTCGGCTCGTTTGGGGTCGAGCCGGGTCCTCAGGATCCCCGGCTCGGCTCGGCTTGTCAGGGGGGCTTTGTGTGGGCTGTTAATTGGGGCCACAGGGTAAGGGGTCTCTAGTCTGGGGGATTATCCAGATTGTTTAGCTGATCGTCTGGTTCTACATCTTACACAACTATCAGGAGGAGCTGCAGATTTAAATAGGGCTGGCTGAGGTCGATAGACTAGGGCGGCAGGGTGAGGTTAGGGTTGGCAGACAAAATGGGCGCGGGGTTTGTCGATCTGAAATTTGACAGTCGCGAAACCCCCCTTTCCCTAGCCGCGAGCCGGCTGGCTCGAAAACGAGCCAGCTCGAGCCGGCTCGACTCCGGCTCGCCTGATTTCGCGTGCGCGAGCCGAGCCGAGCCACCGGCTCGGGTCGAGCTGAGCTGGATCGGCTCGAGTCGAGCCGGCTCGGCTCGAGTCGAGCCGGCTCGGCTCGAGTCGAGCCGGGTACAAAAACTAGAGGCTCGGCTCGTTTTTAAGGCGAGCCGAGCCGAGCCGAGCCAGGTGTGGCTCGGCTTGTGCCCATGTCTAGGGGCCAGTGGAACGGCAGAGCCAAAACGCGGCCGCGGTAAGACCTTGTTGAACCGAGAGGGCGCAGGTTGGTGCTCACGACGTGAAGGGAGAACAGGCCGCAGATAGACAACAACTATGGAGGTATGGAGCGTTAACGGTGTCGAGGCAAGGATGGGAAGGGAGAGCACAGGGCAGAAGGAGAAATCCAAGGGAGTGCATGCGTCGCAGCAGGAGGCGTGACGTAGAGGAAATCCAAATATGTTCAGCATGTGGCATCATTGAAACATCATGCGCTCCTACCCACCTGATGCGGCTTGGCCTCACCTGATGCGGCTTCGCCTCACCTGATGCAGCTTGGCCTCACCTGGTGCGGCTTGCCTCACCTGATGCGGCATGGCCTCACCTGGTGCTAGACATGGTTAAAACGCGATGCGAAATAATATCACATCGCACTTGCTGCTATCGCGTTTTATATCGCACGATATTATATCGCATCGCTGCGATATAATTTATCAAAAACAGGTATTGCATATCGCATTTCCGGTACGATATATTTTTATAGGGCAATTATAAAGCGATATATCGCGTTATGCGATTTAATATCGCATCGCATTTAAAAGCATGGTTTAAATGCTGTTTCTGGCCGAGCATGCGATATTAAAATATCGCACGGATATCGCATAGATATCGCACAGATATATGCGATATTATATCGCGCGATGCGATGCGATATAACCATCTCTACCTGGTGCGGCTTGCCTTACCTGATGCGGCTTGGCCTAACCTGGTGCGGCTTCGCCTCACCTGGTGCGGCTTAAGCTCCTCGGCGAATGCCTGCACCTCCGGTGACCGCAGGATGCGCTCCAGATACACCTGCGGGGGAGAGAGGGCCGTGGAGGGGGGCGGGGAAGGAAGAGTGAGAGTGGTGGGTGGAGTGAAGGGCCTAGACGGGCGGGAGGGGTGTTGGAGGAGACTCCACCTCCGGTGACCGCAAAATGCGCTTCAGACAGATACACCTGCGAGGGAGGGGGCAGTGAGGGACTGAGGGAGTGGGTGGAGTGGAGGGGCAAGACGGGGGCGGGAGGGGGGAATGGCTGCATCTCTTGTGATCGCGGGATGCCCTCCAGATACACCTGCGAGGGAGGGGGGGAGGGGGGGGGGAGGGAGGGCAGTGGGGGGGGAGAGTGAGAGAGGTGGGTGGAGTGGAGAAGCATACGGGGCTGGAGGGTGCCCGAGAAAATGGGTCCACCTCTGGTGATCACTGGTGCGCTCTAGATATGACCGAGCGGCTGTGGGGAATGGGAGGGGGAGCCGTTGGGGAGGTAAGAGGCAAGGCACCAGCTGTAACTCACAGGTACCTGCTCGAATCTCACTGCAACTACTCCCATAGCTCTGCACCAGATCGCAGTCAGCAGTGAAATGCAAAACCTAAGAGATCACAGGCGGTGACGTGGCGGGCAAGATGGGGCGGCACGCACCTTCTGCAGAATGGGGTAGATCTTGAGCTGGCTGCACCGCTCGTCCTGGTGCATGCCACCACATGCCCCCCCCCCCCCCCCCCCCCCCCAGACACATGCACGCGAATATTATTAGGTCAATGAACGCACTTAGGTAACAAGGGTTAAGAGTGTTGGACAAACACAGTACTGACGCACGCAGAGCGAAGCCTTTTCACGGAGTGCGGCAAACTAGAGAATCTTAGCCATCCCGTGCCGCCATACATTCCCCCAAAGCCCAAAATGGGCCAGAGCCTCGAAATTGCGCCCTCTAAAGAAAAAACGCGTTGTAGGGAGGGGCACCTTATAGTGAGTGGCCCCTTAAAGCCCGAGTCTAGAATGGTAGAAAACCATGATTACTGACCGTGAAAACAGTGCCAAAAAAACTGGGCGAAATAAATTTCGGCAAAGTTCTGCTGACGAACAAAGATTCTGGCAAAATCGCGGAAACATGATCGCATCACGGGAATTCTTCGGCAAGAACCGAGGTCAACAGTGCGTGAACAGTGCGGGGGGGCGGGGGATTGGGGGGGGGACAAACCGTGACACGAGACCCCCACAAAAATGAGTTCAGAATGGTCGCAGGCAAAAACTCAAGAATACTGAGATGAACAGTGACTTTGTGCTTGTCTTATTCAGCGGCAGTCGCAAGCTGCTCCCCGCTTCCCGCGAGTTACGACGTTTTTCCAGTTTGCACCGCGTTACCCTTCATTTGACGAAACCAGTTCGGTATTCCTGAACTTGATAGCAAACCATTCTGAACTCGGTCTTTGATTCGAGTGGCCCCTTGATTCGAGTGGCACCTTATAGAGAGTGGCGAGCATACGAGAGCGCTGTGGGCCCGCAGCAGCGAGGATGGTGCAGGTGACGGCGGCGTTGAGCACCGCCTCCAACTCGCCCTCATCCACCTGCCTGCCGTCATGGCGCACACACACGCAGCACACACATGCATGATGCGAGAGGATCATGAGAAAGACATCAAAACGTGGAAACGCACTACAGTGGAGTTGTGCACCATCGTCAACTCGCCCTTGTCCACCTGCCAGCGGTGCAAGGGTAGTTGACCACATGCCTACAGCGACACATGGCCACATGCACAAATCTACACATGGCCACACGCACGAATTCACACATGGCCACATGCAGGAATGAACACATGCAGGAATGAACACATGCAGGAATGAACACATGCAGGAATGAACACATGCATGCAATGGAAGCAGCAGCAGGGTGAGCACGTGTCATGGGAAGCAGAGATGACCACACGCATGCAGCGACACACGGGCACGTGCCATGCAGCGACACATGGGCACATGCCTTGCGACGCAAAGAAAGGAAGGCAAGGAAAACGAGGTTGTGAGAGACAACGCAGACAGGAGAAACACGAGAGCGCGCTCATCCCTCTCCTCCACTCACTCACCCAATCTAACGCTTTCTCCTACAAAAAACACGAGGAAACATGCTCCAGCGTGCTTCGCATCCAAGACTCCCACCACCACACCCCTATGTTCCCCGCCAGCCACTCACCTGCCGCCCGCCAGCCACTCACTTGCCGACCGCCAGCCACTCACTTGCCACCCAGCTCCCGCTGGTCCAGCTGCGAGAGATCGTAGTACTTGAGCGCAGCTTCCAGGAACTTCCTCTTGGAGTCGAGGATGCGCGCGTAGCACACCTGGAGGCGGCAGGGAGTGCGACAACGGTGCTCCCGCTCGCGCACAGCACGACCGCGCATGCGCATGCCCACCCGCCCACACATGCACCCACCCATACCCGCAGTGGGAGATTGATACGGAGAGCGAGTGAGAGAGAGAGATGCAAAATAGGAGCATTCAGCATAACGTACAAAGAAGAAACTGCCAGCTAGGTCCCACTCCTTATGCTCAAGCATTCAGTCTAGCCAACGCTTGCCCCTCCTGCTAACCACACCTTGTACTGCAGAGAGCGAGCACCACTCTAAACCGCACCTTGTACTGCAGAGAGCGAGCACCGCTCTAAACCGCACGATGTACTGCAGAGAGCGAGCACCGCTCTAAACCGCATCTTGTACTGCACGGCGAGCACCGCTCTGAACGGCACCTTGTACTGCAGAGAGCGAGCACCGCTCTAAACCGCACCTTGTACTGCAGAGAGCGAGCACCGCTCTAAACCGCACCTTGTACTGCAGGGCGAGCGCCTGGTCGCTGTGCTGGCCGATGTCAAACGACGCCTTCTTGATGTACGTCTCCGCGTTCACTGCATCGTCGTCCTTTGGGGGGTGGGAGGGCGCACACAGAGGCACACACACAGGCAGGCAGGCAGGCAGGCAGGCAGGTAGGGAGAGGCTTTAGTGAAACAGCAACGCAGACACAGACATGGGGCACATAGACAAACAATGCCTTCGTGATGTACGTCTCTGAGTCCACTGCATCGTCGTCCTGAGAGAGTGTAGGGGAATTCACAGAGGGGCACGGACAGGCAGGCGGGCGGGCGAGTGGGCGGGCGGGCGGGCGTTCAGGCAGGCAGGCAGGCAAAGGCTTTAGTAACATTAACGAAGACAAATGGGAATGCATGTACACAGCAGACTAGTGACACGTCACCAGCGTATGTGCAACACGTCAGCACAGAGCAGTGGGCGACACATCGGCACATGGCAAGGTGCAACGCGTCAGCACATGGCAGTGGTCACCACGTCAGCACATGGCAGTGCGCAACACGTCAGCACATGGCACAGGCAGCGCACCTCGAGGTAGAGCAGAGCGATCTTGATGCACTTGCTCAGGCGGTACGCCACGTCCTGGCCCCTGCTGGACCAACACGAGGGGAGGTGAGGGGCGACGCAAGAGGGAATGGAAGTGCGTTTCAGAATTGGGTGGAGATGCGCGGGGGGGGAAGACGGCCAAAGAAAGAGCACGGGAAAGAGCACGGGAAAGAGCACGGGAAAGAGCACAGGAAAGAGCACGGGAAAGAGCACGGGAAAGAGCACGGGAAAGAGCCGGGAAAGAGCACAGGAAAGAGCACGAGAAAGAGCACGGGAAAGAGCACGGGAAAGAGCACAGGAAAGAGCACGGGAAAGAGCACGGGAAAGAGCACGGGAAAGAGCACGGGAACTCCAGAGCTTCTGGTTCCGGGCACAGCTGCATGCCTTCATGCAGGGCTTGCGCTGGCAAGGCAGCGCCTCACCTGCTGCCTCCGTCCAGGTCGATCCCTGCCAGCATCTGCGCGGCCTTGGCCCACTCCTCCTCGCCCTCGTACAGCAGCGCCAGGCCCTCGCGGATCACCGCCACCTGCAGTCATGGGGGGGATGGGAGGCGGGAAGGGTGGGCGTGGGCGATCCTGCGAGCATGAATGTGAGAAGGGTCTGGGTGTGCTTGAGCGCGTGGTGCACCACGGCTATCTGCTGCTCCACGTGCAGCCCCCACAGTGAGATGTGTGCGCGCGCACGTGCGCACACACACACACACACCCACCCATCCCCCACACACACACACACCCACCCCTCACCTGTTCCTCGAACGACACCACGCGGGGCTGGATGTGCGTGAGCGCGTAGTGCGCGACGGCCTTGTGCTGCTCCGGCTGCAGCCCGCGCAGCTCCCCCGCCATCTGCTGCAGCACCTGCCGCGCCACCACCAAGGGCACGTCCTCACACAGCACTGGGAGAGGCGGGGGGCAGGGGGAAAGGGGGAGCGGGGATGGTAAGCGGGGATGCATGCAAGAGAGAGAGGGGGAGCTTGCGTGCAGCCCCCGCAGCTGAACCGGCATCTGCTGCAGCACCTGCCGCGCCACCCCCAAGGGAACGTCCTCAGATAACATTACCACAGCGGGGCGGGGGGAAAGGGGGAGGGCGGACGGGGGAGGCTTATGGAGCGGGATACGCGCACGAGAGAGGGAGGGGAATGGGCAAAGCGGGGGCGGATTGACCCGCGCTTGCCTGCGATGCATGCAGTGCCGCCTCCACGTCAACCACACCCCACGCATGTGCCCTCGATCAAACGCCTTCCACGCATCACGGCTCACTCTAGTCCGTGTAACGTACCCCCTCTCCCTAGTTACCCCCCCGTACCCCACCCTCCATACCTCACCCTCCATACCTGACCCTCCATACCTCACCCTCCATACCTCACCCTCCATACCTCACCCTCCATACCTCACCCGCCATACCTCACCCTCCATACCCCACCCTCCATACCTCACCCTCCATACCTCACCCGCCATAATCCACACAACCCCCCCCCCAACCCCCTCCCCTCTCCTTCCCCCCTTTTGGCCGCACTGTGGTCGACGAACTGCTTCGCGTGCTCCACGTCGTTGCGCGCGATGACGTCAGCCAGCAGCGCGCGGTACGCCTCCACCTTCGCCTTGGGCTCCGCCACGCCCACCACCGCGCGCAGCGCCGCGCCCATGTCGCCCATCGCCGCGCGCCTTCTCCGCTCTCGCGACCCCGCTCGCTCCTACGACTCCTGCCTCCTCCTGCTCCCGCCTTCTCCTTCCGCGCGGCCTCTTAAAATTATGCCCCTTCTATTGTTTCCTTTCGACGCGCCTTCCCGCCGCTTCCCTCAACGGTTTCCCTGGTCTGCCCTGACGTCTCGCTCCTTGACCTTTTACTCCCCTCGCTCTTCTTCTCTCCTCGCTTTTACGTCTAGGCTCCCCGCTTGTCCTGCCGCCTCCACTGACCTCCCTGCGACTGCGGAACCCGAGATAGACTGCGCCTGAATTCAGCGACAGCGGCAGTGAAACTTTTAAATTAATAATAATATATTGTCCTTCTGCCAGGACATGTCGATGTAGTATAATGGTCAGTATCTCCGCCTGTCACGCGGAAGATCCGGGTTCGATCCCCGGCATCGGCGTTTTGCTTCTGAAGTGTTGGCTCAACTTTCACTCAACACATAAGAAATGGTTCTTTGGAAGCTCACCTTCTTAGCCAGTGTCTTCCAAATGGACGCAGGCGACCTACATTCTGCCGATGTGATTATAATCTTCTTTGTCAGTGTCTCTGATCTGGTCCTCATTCCGTAACAACAGAAATGTGATACATGGGTCATTCAGAGGAGTGAATACTGTACTTCAGTGCTGACTTCATGGTTTTGTTGCCTTATGTTACAAGCTTCCCCACATTACAACATAGCATGATCGTGTCATTTCCCACCAATAAACTGCATCCTCGTGTCATTAATATGGCGCCTGTGACTGAGAAAGTTCAGCTTGTGCTGCGAACAGCCCGCCGGTGTCTCAGTAGCCGTGGAGCCTCCGCGTGGCAGCCATGCAGGCAGGTGAATGTGTGTTTGTTGTGCGTGTCCTGGTGATTGGAAGGGCCTTGCTGCAGTTGCTTGAGGTGGGAGCTCTGACGGCTGCTTGCTCTTCTCATCCCCTGCTCCGTGACTCTTTCCCATCCTGCGATACCCTCAGTATTCTGTGTGCGCCATAGCCCCCATCCCACGTGTGCCTACACACATCCACTCACCCCACATGTGCCGACACATGTCCACTCACCCCACATGTGCCGACACACGTCCATTCACCCCACATGTGCCGACACATGTCCATTCACCCCACATGTGCCGACACACGTCCAATCACCCCACATGTGCCGACACACATCCACTCACCCACTAAGCCTTTCCATGCCAGTCTAGACACCATGCGTCTGCCCTTGCCAAGCTGCCATGCCATCACCCCATCACCCATCCGGCAGTTTGGTTTTGAAGAGCACGCAGCGCTTGTCCTCGGGGAAGTAGGAGTTGCCGTCGCCGGGGTTCATGTTGACCGTCATGCCGAACACGTCCATCTCCGCGGCTGTCACCCTCAGCTTCACGTACGCGTTCTTCAGCGCAAACAGGTTCTCCACGCGGTTGAACGTGCGCTGCTGCACGTCCTGTGGCGAGGGTAGGTGGGCGCATGATGGGAGGAAGAGGAGCGAAGAGCAATGAGCATGTGCTGGTCACCGGGGCTCATGTTGACTGTCATGCCGAACACGCCCATCTTGGTTGATGTCACGCACAGCTTCATGTACGCGGTCTTGAGAGCAAGAGAACCTCGATGCCGCTGAGCGGGCGCCGCTGCCCATCCTGTGGTGGGGGTGAGGGAGGCACGATTGGGGGGAGGGCAGGGAGCCAAGTGGATGCCCATCAGTCACCACACCATTTCAATCCACCAATCCGAGTCCATACCATGCACCATGCACCATGCACCATGCACCATGCACCATGCACCCCATCCCCAATGTATATCGTGCCAGTGACGTCAAGTTGGCCAGCGATGCCCTGCACCACGCCCCGTGCCCTGTGCCCCGGGCGCCATGAGCCATGCGCCATGCGCCAAGCGCCATGAGCCATGCGCCATGAGCCATGAGCCATGCGCCATGAGCCATGCGCCATGCGCCATGAGCCATGAGCCATGCGCCATGCGCCATGAGCCATGCGCCATGAGCCATGAGCCATGCGCCATGAGCCATGCGCCATGAGCCATGCGCCATGCGCCATGAGCCATGAGCCATGCGCCATGAGCCATGACCCATGCGCCATGTGCCATGAGCCATGCGCCAGGTGCCATGAGCCATGAGCCATGCCCCATGGGCCATGCCCCATGCGCCATGCGCCATGAGCCATGCGCATGAGCCATGCACAGAGCCCCCCCATGCACACGTACCGTGCCAGTAATGTACAGCTGGTTGCCAATGTCCTGCCCGATGGGCGCCTCATTCATTGCCATGGCTGCTGTCGCCGTCAGTCCCCCTCCTCCCACGCCCGCCCCGCCCCCCGTGTCCTCAGCACACACGATCTCCGCGTTGCCCGAGTTGCCCGCCAGCACCTGGATCGAGCTGCCCATTATACTCGTTTTAAGCTCGCTCGTTGAGAGCACAGCGTCGCCCTGCCGCGGCTGGATGGAGAAGGTGGGCACCTGCCCCTCGTGGCCGGCGAAGAAGAACGCGCAGTCCGTGGGGGACGGCTGGCATGCCGCCGTGGGGGGCTTTACCGGGGGGGAGATAGGCGGAGGAGGGGGGTTGGGCGGGGGGTTGTCGGGCGGTGGGTTGTTGGGAGGGGGGTTAGGAGGAGGGTTGTTAGGAGGAGGGTTGTTGGGAGGAGGGGGGTTGGGAGGAGGGTTGTTAGGGGGAGGGTTGTTGGGTGGTGGTGGGGATGGGAGGCTCGGGGGAGAGGGGGGAGGGAGGGATGGGGGGGCGATGGAGGGGGAGCAGCAGTGGGCCCGGGACTCTCTGTGATAGAGGGGGGCGAGCTGCTGGGCGCAGCTGACTCCTGTGGAGGGTTGGTGGAAGGCGGCGGAGGGGAGGGGAGGGGTTGGGAGGCGGGAGCAGGGGAGGTGGGAGAGGGGGAGGTGGAGCTGTTGGTGTCGGTGGTGGTGGAGCTGTTGGTGGTGGTGTTGGTGATGACGGCCAGACCGGTGGTGCCTGTGGTGGGGCCAAGACGACAAGGCAGGAATGCAGGGGTGAGGGGAGGGAGGTTCAGCACAGAGAGAGTATTGCCATTGAGAGTTGGTGAGGCATGGCATAAGACAACCAAGGAATGGGGCAACGAAGCACCGGACAACAAAGCACCGGACAACGTGCGGTGCTTACCATTGGCGTCAAGCCAAGACAGCGTGTCTTTGCGGCTGTCAGGCACAAGGTACTTGCCGCACATTCTCTCATCTGACAGCATGGAAGAACGGGTGTGAGGCGCGCCAGCACTTACAGTTGGCATCAATCCACGACAGCGTGTCGGTGTGCGTGTCGGCCACGAGGTACTTGTCGCGCATCCATGCTTCTGCGATGACTGCCCGCTCCGACTGGCTGGCCGCCATCTTGACTGTGAAGCAGATGATGTGTGCACTGCCCCTGGCCTGAGGCCATGGGCACACCGTGGGAACATGGGGGAGAGGAGAGCGGGGGGAGGGAGAGAGGGAGGAGGAGGGGGGGATGGCGTGAGGGTGGGGAGCCATGCACGAGGAAAGATGAAGTGCAGTGTGGTGTAGAGAGATGTGAGAGCTCAAGTGCATGGTATGATGATGCAACAGATATGATGATGATGATGATCTGAGGCTGGCAGCCTGCGCATACCTCACATGGCTTGCACATGGGGAGTTCAAAGATCCAACGCGGCGACAGCACACATGGAAACATGGCGACAGCACACATGGAAACATGGCGACAGCACACATGGAAACATGGCGACAGCACACATGGAAACATGGCGACAGCACACATGGAAACATGGCGACAGCACACATGGAAACATGGCGACAGCACACATGGAAACAAGGCGACAGCACACATGGAAACATGGCGGAATCTGCACCACGCGTGCATGATGAAGCTTCTGCCCTGGTGTCATGTATACCATTTGTATTTACCCGCATGGCATGCGTGCGAGAGCAGGAGAGCAGGCAGTGGTTACCAGCTTGAGGTAGTTGGTGGGGCTGATGGTGAAGTCCGTCGAGCCCTTGCTGCCCTCCAGCACGAGCGTGAGCGGCGGGAACTGCTGCAGGAACTCGGAGGGGGACATGGACGACCTGCAGCGGGGGGGAAAGGGGAGGGATGGGAGGGGAGGGGAGGGGAGGGGAGGGGAGGGGGAGGAGAGTGGGAGGAGGAGGATGGATGAGGGGTGCAGGGATAGAGTGTGTGAAGAAGCAGGATGAGGTGATTGGGGTGCGAGGTGCAAGAGGGAGGGCGAGGCAAGGAAGGGATGAGAGAGTTGCCGCACATGGGGCGAGGAGCATGGGGCGAGGAGCATGGGGCGAGGAGCATGGGGCGAGGAGCATGGGGCGAGGAGCATGGGGCGAGGAGCATGGGGCGAGGAGCATGGGGCGAGGAGCATGGGGCGAGGAGCATGGGGCGAGGAGCATGGGGCGAGGAGCATGGGGCGAGGAGCATGGGGCGAGGAGCATGGGGCGAGGAGCATGGGGCGAGAAGCATGGGGCGAGGAGCATGGGGCGAGGAGCATGGGGCGACATGGAAGAATGAGCACTCTCCTTGTCCACTGGGCAGAGTCAGGATTGACTTCCTGAGCGCGCCACTCACTTGTGGTACTTGTTGGCGTTGAGGCAGTCCAGCCCCTCGCGGGCGCTGTCGGACGACACGTACACCATTCGTGGGAACTGCACCAGGAACTGCAGGGGGGAGCACAGGCGGGAGGCCACGGCACACAGCGAGACAGTGAGAGAGGATGAGCGCCCGAGACACATGCGCCATGCGCAGGTACTGCACGAGAAACTACGGGGGGGCATGTGGGAGGCAGGTGTGAGACAGTTGGGGGGAAGCGAGACCCGGTGAGAGGGTGGGGGGAACCAAGCGGGCGTTAAGTCACTCACCGCAGAAGCAAGAACCATGCAGGTGGGGTGCAGCAGCAGGAGAGAGCGGGTTGGGTTGTGAGAAGCCCCACAGCCCCAAGCGAAGCAGCACGGCACTCACCGCAGATGCGAAGGCCATGTAGGCGGGCTGCGGCAGCACCGAGACCGATGCGGACGAGTCCAGCACCGTGCCGCCCGCCCCCGACGAGGCGAGCGGCGGGAACATGGCGGGCGTGACTGTCAGGTCCGCCGTGCCCAGCCGCATGTCCGTGACGTTGACGTACAGGTAGGGGCTGGCGGGCACACGACATGGGAGGTGCGGTGGGGTGTGGGGGGGGGCGAAAGGGGGAAGACGGGGGGTGAGGAGCCCCGTTCTGGTGACACGGAGCAAGGGCTGTGGATGGG